AGGGTTCTGTTTGCAGCACTGCAAAGAACCCTCTATACATCTCATTATGCATGCATCAGGATAGTTGAAGTGAAGTGATCTACTAAGAGTCTGCATAGGAGCTTCTGAAAAAAACCTTAGTGCTTACTTATAGAATACGTTATCTATTTAGTTATTTTATTTTGTTTTGTTTTGAGACAGAGTCTTGCTTTGTAGTGTTGCCTGACCTTTAATTCCTTATGTAGCTACCCCAGGCTGAGCTTCAACTCTTGGCAATCCTCCTGCCTCAGTCTCTTGAGTGCTGGGATTATAGGTGTATGCCACCATACCTGGCTTACATATAAAGTAGGACAGCACTGGTTAGAGCAGAGTGAGACCTTGGAAATGCAAAGAAAGCCGGCAGAGCACAGGATCTGTCTAATTAGCCAACCTTGTGCTAGGCAAATCTCCCAGAAACACTTGTTAAATGAAGAGGAGATGGTTTAGGCATTGTCCTTCTCTCACTCAGGATCACTAAGACACGTCCTAAAGCTATTCAATACTTATTTGGTAAAACACATTATACAAAGATAAGAATAAGAATCAACTTCTGAGGACAGATGTAAAATAAGATGTTAATAAAAGATTGAAGCTATTTAATCTATTTTAATATTCTCAATGTAAGAAGTTACTGCAAAGGAGGCTCCTAGGGGGTAGTGTCACCCGGGCCTCACCAACAGGAAGTCTCCAGGTGGACCCTTGCACTCAGTGTCTTCCTTAATACTCCATGGAATAAAATCATGAGATGGCAAACCAACAGTACTCAACTATACAAAGGACTTACATTTTCTAGAGCACATTTTAAGGTGCCTTGAAAAGCTTTAGTGAAATTTATTATTTCCCTAAATCTGTATTTCTAGAACTGACTTGTGTTTCCTGCTGCTCAATAAACTTTTAAGGTAAGTCCAAAAGAAATGCCAATTTTTCTTTTTATTTTGAGATAGGGTCTCGCTTAACAGTGCAGCTGTCTTAAACTTCTTATGTAGCCCAGGCTGGCTTCAAGCTACTGACGAGCCTCCTGTCTCAGCTTCCTGATTGCTGGGATTACAGGTGTGCACCAGCATGCTGGGCTACCAACTTTTCAAAAACAACATGTTGCACTGTTCATAAGAGCCAAAAGGTAGATGCCACTGAGTATCCATTCATAGAAAGTGAGTGAAAGATGTGCTATCCACAGTCAGGTGGAACAGAATTTAACCTTAAAGAGGAAGGAAATTCCGATACACATTTCCGATATGGGTGTGCTGTGAGGGCCCCAGGCAGAGGGAAACGAGCAATTCACAAAAGACAGATATTGAGTGATCCACTGTATGAGATGCCTAGAGCAGCCAGATTCATAGAGGTGGCTGCAGAATGATGGTTCCCAGGAGCTGCAGGTGAGAGGGCACAGGAGGTTCATGTTTCAGGGATATAGACATTTGGTTTTTAAAAAGCTCTGCAGATGGATGGTGGTAGACAATGGCAATGGTTGCAGAACAATATGTGCAAAAATGTGCAATTAAAATGGTTCAAACAATAAAATGTATGCTTATATCATGCCATGTTTTAAAAAACAAATACATGTTTTCTCCAACAAATGTACTTCCCCTTCTACCCAGCCATCCAAGCCGGAAACCTGGAGGTTCTCTCAGTGGGCTGTTAGCTCACCTTCCCTTCCACTCCAATCCCCATGTCCCACAGAATCCACCCTAAAAGGGTCCTTTCCGTCTCCATGGATATGCCCAGGCTCTGGCTTGCATGACTTCTACAGACTCCTCTGTTCCCCACCTCTGTCCTCAGCCATGCTGCACTCCGCCTTGGGAACAACCTCAGGACCCGGGAGTGCCCCTGCCACTCTCCACCTGCAAGCCTTAAAATCACATCCAGGAAAGCCAGTTGCTTCTCCAGGGCAAAGAAAGATCTTTCAGAATATCCCTCTCCTCCATTTAAGCGCTCGTCCTTCTGGACTCCTCTTGCAGAGCTCAGTTTCCCTAAATATTTCATGGTCTCCTAAGCTTCAGTGCATGTTTTACTGAGAACACCATCTTTCGTTTGTCAATAGGGATAACTCCTACTCTTTCTTCCCAGCTTGGATCAAATAGTCTCAGAACTTGCTCTGTATGCTTGTCCCTCGCTTCTCCAACACCTGGATCCCACCCCACATCTGTTCAGGAGTTTCCTTTTTTATATGTGTAGTCAGAGACACTACACATTTGGTTCCACAGCATCTTCAATAAAAGGACTATCATTTCTTCCAATAGAGGGAGTAACATAGTGCACGCATATCATGTATACACTATAGTCTTTTAGGTGTATACTATGTCTTAAAAAGTGTATATAGCACAATGTAAAAATATTTTACCACTAAAAATGCTAATGATCATCTACGCCTTCAAGGAGTCTCATATATTGTTATATATTGGTGGCACTGGGGATGGAACCGAGGGTTTTTGTACTGAGCAACAGTCCCAGCCCTTTTTATTTTTGAGACTGAATCTTGTGAAGTCACTAAGTTCCAGATCCTCAGGTGGGGCTCAAACTTTGGATCCCCCTGCTTCAGCCTCCCAAAGTGCTGGGATAACATGTATGTGCCACCATTCCCAACACATGTAGTGATGCTCTTTGATAGCATTTTACTTACAGTAAAACTTTCAAAATTAGAGTTGATTCTCTCATATATTTTTTGTTTAATTTTCTCGTATCTTGCTGGTGCATTATTGACTAAGTTTATATAATATCCTAAATTCTTTGTTGTTATTTCAACATTGATGATGTTCATATCACCTTTAGCAGAGTGGATCCATGTCAAGAAACATTTACTTTGCTCGTCTATCCAAAGCTGCTGTGGGACCACGTCTCTCCAGGCTCCACTTGTAACGCTGGTTCCCTTGCTCTCCCAGCACATCTGCAGTTATCCCCTGCACTCAGGTCATGAATCCCTCCGTCACCCAGGGGGAAGTAGCCAACTTCTTCCAAACCCTGTTAATGTCCATATTTTCACTTTATCCCATGAATCATAATGCTCTTAATGGCATCTAGAATGGTTAATCCTTTCCAGAAGGTTTTCAATTTACCTTTCCCAGATCCATCAGACAAATGAGGCACTGTATGTGGCAGATATGGCCACACAAAATATATTTGTTAAGTAATGAAGCTTGAAAATTGAAATTATTCCTTGCTCTACATGCTGCAGTGTGGATGCTGGCAGGTGTTACACATCTCCGCTGTAGTCTGGGATGAGCAGGTACATTGCACAAGAGCTATGGTATGTGAATGGAGTCCTTCCCCTGAGCCATGGCCCAGCAGTGGCTTAACCTGTGCACCAGCCCTGCTGCACACAGAGCTGTGTCCCCAGGCTTGCTTGTCACACTTGAAGAGTGCTGGCAGAGTGGATTCCATGTGGCTCCAGAGGGCCTAGCATTTGGAGAAAGGTGCAGTGCATGAGCAGGTCACGTCCTCCTCCATGTCAGCCCTCGGAGAGAGGCGGGCTGCTTCCTGAGTGGACGCTGAAGCCCAGCACTGCCATCTCTTCTCCAGCCACGGAGGCCCTAGAGGTGTCTTCTTCCAGTGCAAGGCTCTTTTTTTTTTTTTTTTTTTTTTTTTTTTTTTTTTGGTACCAGGTTTGAACTCACCACCTAGTGCTTGCCAGGCAGGCATTCGTGCCACTGAGTTAAGTCCAGGCCTTTTTGTTGTTGTTGTTAAAGTTCTTTTGTCCACAGTGAGAACCTGTAGCTGAAGGCATCCCTCTTCAGTTAGCTCAGCTAACTCACTGGAGTTTCGACATTAGTGCCCACTGCTTCAGCTTGCACTTTCATATTTCAGAGATAGTTTCATCCCTTCAGTCTCAGAAGCCAACCCCTGCCAGCTTCAGACTTTTCTTCTGCAGCTTCTCTAAGCCTTTATAGAATTGAAGCGAGCTGGGGCCTTGCTCTGCATTACGGTTGGTTTAAGGCAATACTGTGGCTGGCTGGGTCCATTTAACCACTAACTCTCTCCACGTTAGCAACAGGCCGTTTCACTCTTTCACTGGAGAAGCACTGGCAGTTTCCTTCAAGAACTTTCCTTTTGCATTCACAGTCAGCTGCTTGGAGTGAGCGGCCTCACTTTCAGCCAATCTCAGGGTTTGGCATGCCTTCCTCACTCAGCACAGTCATCTCTAGGTTTGGATTTCAAGTGACAAGCAGGTAGCTCTCTGTTTTATTTGAACACCTAGTGGACACTGTGGGGTTACTAACTGGCCTAACCTCAGGACTGTTGGGAATAGGGAGCCAGAGAAGAGGAGGAGAGAGGTGGAAATGGCCAGTTTGTGGAGCTGTCATGGTACACAATTTATCCACCAAGCTCATTGTCTTATATAACTGCAGTAGTAACATCAAGGATCATCATAGAAAACACAAGGAAGTATTTGCAATCCCCAAAATATGAAGTGAACATATGTTATTGGAAAAATTATGCCAATATATTTGGTTGGTGTGAAGTTGCCACAAACCTTGAATTTGTAAATACCACAAAGTTGCAAAGGAGAAAGCAACAGAGTGAGGTCTGCCTTCACGTTATTCACATTATTTCTTGTATTCACTGCACGGGATTTAAATATTTGCCAAGAGAAAGGGCTCTGGAGTCAGAGTGCCAGGGTTTTAATCCAAGTCCAGCACTTACCTTGTAGCCTTTAAAGTTACAAGTTACTTAGCCCCTCTGGGTTTCTGGGGCTTACAGTATGGACCATGGAGACAGCGGTGAAGATGAGATGAAGTATTATACTGAAAGTCTGGGATCTGAGCCTGGTTCCTAGTAGGTATCATTAGCAATGATAGTGGTGGTAGTAATAGTACAGTATTTCTGGCCCAAGACATACTTCCTGCAAAGTAAGATATTTCTAAAGCCTTGAAGAGCATGCATTTAAATAGTATTTATAGAAACACACAAAAATCAGAGAGGAAAGAAGGAAGAAGGAAAGGAGAGGAGAGAAAAACAACAAGAAAAAAGAAACTGGAAAAACTTACCACCATTTTTGCCCACTGTTCGGAAGCATCTCCAGAAGGCCCGTAAAAATGATGCCCTGTTGTGGGGTGTGGCTTGGATAAAGCTGAATTCCCGAAACAGAATGTGAGTTCCCTGGCACACACTGTTAAAACTGCAAAGAGAAAAATTAAGAGACTATCCTTAGTTGGAATTTAGGAGACTGAAATCAAATTAAAAATTCAAGACCAATAGAATCACTGCCAAGAAGAAGGGGCTCTTTTTCTCCCCAGTAAAACTCTGAACTCTAGACAAGACTGAGTGCTTCTATAGGGAAGTCTTTTCCTACAACCTCATCCCTCCAGAAACTCATGGAGCACAGCTCCTCTGAGGGCTTCGACCCCAACATGTACACCCTAAGCAAGCGGCTCCATCACTAGAGCACCTCTAAAAGGGGGCTCTCTCAGTCGTTACCTGGGTGATGCTGCCACTGCTATTTTTTTTAACTCAGCTCTCTCTGCCGTTGCCAGTCAAGCGATTCTTCCTCTACTGTCCCCAGTCCTATTCCAGCTGCCATAGCACATCATGGCTTATGGGGACACAACTGGACTGTCTGTCCAGCAAGGGGTGGTTCTGCACACTTTCTGATATAAGCCAGACAAATCCTGGATAAAAAGGCCACCAAAGGCTACCAAGGGCAAATAGGAAGAAGGGCAGAAGGTCATCCCTAGGTGAGTGTGAAGCAAAGCTGTGGGGCCCAAGTGAGTCACTGTTTAAACAGGCCAGGGAAGGGAAAAAACACACTCCCTGGCCTTTGGGTTTTCCTGCCAAAGAAAGAAAGGCCCAGGAGTCTGGTGTAGTCTAAAAATGGAAATTCCACAGAAGAATAGGCAATTATCCAGTAATCATCTCCACCACGCAGACTTCAGGTTCCAGAAAACTCCTGACTTCTCTGACAAGTAAATCATGAGTGGAAAACATGTTAATGGTTGTGGAGAAGACCTTACACTGAAGATGGCGAGGCTTGATTGGACCTGGTAATTCCAAATGCCAGTTTTCATTTAAAGGCAGTGTGTGTGTCTGTGTGAATGTGTATGGTGGTGTGTGTGTGTGTGTGTGTGTGTAAGCATCTCTGAACTGAAAAGGGACAGTTTTTAGAAGACAACCATTTCATTTCCCTTCACCCACACCACCTTTAGGGAAAAGCATCTATGGTCTGTAACAGACAGCATGTGTCACTTGGGATAAAATCAATCTTTTCCTTAGGGGAAAAAAATCAGTCTCTTTAAATTAGCAGTGCTGTAATGAAAATGTGAATTATCTACCCTTGCTTTCTCATGGAAAACTAGCATAGAAATCTACCTTTAAGGCACCACGAAGAAGTAAGAAAACAATGCCTGGCAAATGACTATGACAGAAGAGACGTTTTCTCAAAGCCATGGGAATAGGAACCCCCCTTGTTTTATGCAAGGCAGATGAGCCGTTGCAGGTAAATGGGGCGGGCCACCCTGCAGCAGATGAAGGCTGACACACTAACCGCTGCCTGAATCTATGAAGCAAGCCCCTAAAGAAGCAGTCCTGCAGCGTGCTGCCTTCCTGAGGAGGAAAGGGGTGGTCTAAGGTGCGGAGGAGCTACTTCGGGAAACCACACCCTTAGCGTAGATCTAAAACCTGTCTCAATGCCACGTTTCACATAGTTTTTTCCCCCTGATTCTCTCCCCATACCAGAGTCCTATCAACTCTCATTTGTCCTCTAAGATACAACTTGCTCTCTTGTTGTAAAGTTCCTGGGCCTCTTTCTCCAACCAGACTGCAAGCTGTATGGAGTAAGGTCACATTCATCTTTGTCTCTACTTTGTGACCCAACACACAGACGCTGCCTAACTATGCGTGGTAGTTTACTTAAAAAGATAAGAAGAAAATAGCTAATACCAGGTAGAATGAATATTTGCAACTGTTAACGCTGGAAATATCTAAAGTCTATGTTTTATATCTTTTTTAAAAGCTTGCTCTTTAGTCTAATGTCTGAATCATATTTCAATATTAACTTTTTTATTAGTATTTTCCTGGTATATCTACTTCTATGCTTTTCATTTTAACTTTTCTGGATCGTTTTGTTTCTCTACTTAACATTAAAGTCACTGTGAGGTAGTAAGTGACTTTTTATTGTATTTAATTGGTTTCTGACATCTTATTCTAGCTTTCCAGTGAACTGTTTTTCTGCTGTCTACTGTACTAGTAAAGTTTGAAAGAATTTGTTATACCTCCTCTGTTAGTATAGAAGCTATAGAGAAAAACCTATAATTTTTTAATATTCCTCTTAGAAATGTAATGTATTTACCCATACCTACTTTATTTTCAGCACTGGAAATTGAACCAAGGTCTTTGCTCTAAACTATATGCCTAGTTCCTTTCATTTTTTATTTTGAGACAAGGTCTTGCTAAGTTGCCCAGGCTGGGCTCAAATTTGTGATTCTCCTGCCTCAGCCTCCCGAAGTGCTAGGACTATCCGTATATGCCATTCTTTTTCTGGTGTCAAGGGATGAACCCAGGGCTTCACATGTTAGGTAAGCACCCTACCATTAAGCTACACATTTATCTCAGAAAAAAATTTTAATATGATAAAATATAATTTTTTTTATCATTTTAGCTACTCCTAAGTGTGTAGTTCAATGGCATTAAGTATATTCACAATGCTATGTAACCATCACCATTATATTCAAAACTTTGTCATCACCTCCAAGAAAAGCCATATATTCATTAAGCAATAATTCCCTTTTCCAGCTTTCCACCAGACCTACTAACCACTATTCTTCTTCCTGTCTGTGTAAATCTGCCTAGTCTATGTACCCATGTAAGTGGGTCATATAACATCTGCCCTTGTGTATCTGGCTAATTTCACTAAGGATAACTCTGGCAACAGTGCACACATATTGTGGCATGTATTACGATTCTTCTCAAGGACGAAGAACGTTCCGTCATATGCATGTGGGACCTTGCTTAGCCCTTCCCCTTCGATGGGCTTTGGGTTACTCTCACCTTTTGACTACTGTGAAGACTGCTGCTACCATCAGTGCACAAGAATCTCTTCCTGACTGGCATTCAATTCTTTTGGATGTACACCTCTATCCAAGAGTCTATGGATTTTTTTTCTTTTATCATTTTGAGACAGGGTCTTGCTATGCAGTTCAGGCTGGCCTTGAGCTTCTTTGTAGCACAGGCTGGTCTCAAACTCATAACCATCCTCCTGCCTCAGCCTCCTGAGTGCTGGGACTACAGGCATGTGCCATCATACCTTTTGAGAAACCACCAAGCTGTTTTCTGGAGTGGCTGTCCTGTTTCACTTCTCACTGGAATGTATGACAGTTCCAGTTTGTCCAAATCTTCATCAACATGTGTTACTTTTCCTTCCTTCCTAGCCAATCTAGTAGTATGAAGTGGCATCTCACCGTTCTGATTTGCATTTCCTCAATGACTAATGACACTGAATGAGCATCTTTCCAGGTGCTTATTGCCCATTAATAAATTTGGAAAAATGTCTTGCTCAAGTCCTTCTTTTTCTTTCTCTTCTTTCCTTCTTCTCCTTCTTCCTCTCCCTCCTTCTTTTCTAAATAGTACTGAGGACAAAACCCAGGGCTTATGCTTGCTAGGCAAATTCTCTACAACCAAGCTATATCCCCAGCCCCAGCCATTTTTAAATTGGGCTGTCTGTTTTGCTGTTATTGATTTGTAGGAGCTCTTTACCTATTTATTCTAGGTATCAATTCCTTATCACATACACGATTTCCATATCATTTTTTTCTTATTTTGTAAAATGTTTTTTCAATTTCTGGACTATTCTTTGATGCACAAAAGTTGTTTTGTTTTATTGAGTGTGAGGGACTGAGCTCAGGGACTCACACATGCATGCTAGGCGAGTGCTCTATCTCTGAGCTACACCCCCAGGACCCCAGCCCTGCTTTTAAAAAAAGGTGTTTTTTTAGGTTTTTGTTTGTTTGTTTGTTTGTTTTTTTGAGACAGAATCTCACTGATTGCCCAGGTAAGCCTGGAAACTGTGATCCTCCTGTCTCAGCCTCTTAAGTAGCTGGGATCGTAAGCAGTAATCCCAGCAATATTTTGACTCCCCACCAAAAAAAAATCCAGCAAAAGGATGGTTTTACCATTCATCAAGAAATGCAGGGGTTGGGGATTTAGCTCAGCGGCATAAGCACCTGCCTTGCAAGCAGGCGGTCGTGAGTTTGATCCCTGGTACCGATAAAAATGAAAAAGACAAAAAAAAAAAAAAAGAAATGCAACATATAGTTTATTTTGCAATTGCTAGCACTTTGACTCACAATGTGTACTCAAATTTCACTGTATTATTACACATCCAAATGGGATATGATCGAGAATCACTGAAATCCTGAACAGACAGGACCACGACTTTCTCACAGAGCCCTGGGAATTTTGTAAGCTGTTTCCCAGGCAGGAGTCATAACTGTGTCTGAGTCTCCCTCCAAGAGGTGGGGTAGAAGAGAATGGCGCCTGTCTTCTGCTCATCATGATGGTTCTAGTCTCTCTATCCCTGAGAAATGAGCCCTTGGTCACCTCTGCCTGCTGCTCCTGATGTGGGCACTGGAGGTTACAGTTTCTGTCCCATTCACTCCCCTGTAGCTATGGTTAGTTCCCAAAACACAAAGGAATTTAGACTGGTTTTACACATATGTTCTTTAAATTTTCTCTTTAGAAAACATTATGTATTGTTATCATGTGTTCGGAATGAATTAGAGACCCAAGTCATAAAGCCTGCAGACCATCATCACAGGAGTCTAGAAGAAACTTCCTACCTATAAAGTGGAATGCATGTTCATGCTCATTTTTGGTTGTATTTATCTAATCTAAAAAGGTTTTTAGTAGACAGCAGTCCATTTTCTAACATAAACAAAAAAGTGCCTAAAGACATTTGAAAGGCTGTACAAAAGCGTACCACATGGCTATCTTGGACAGCTCTCTCCAAAACCAGTATTTCAATGTTGCTGAGCAAAGTCTTTCATTCTTTGAGTTGTTGCAGTTTTATTGAACAATTTTAATTTCTAAAAAGTTTGACATGATTTCAAATTTACCAAAAAGTTATAACAACAAAGAATTCTCAAATACTCTTCACCTAGATTACATTTGTTCTCAATTAGGAATTCC